TAACACAAACAAGAAATGAAATGGGTGATATCAGAACAGAACCAACTGAAATAAAAAGGATATCAGGATACTATGAAGAACTGTACTCCCAACAAATCTGAAAATCTGGAAGAAATGGACAAATTTCTAAAAAAAACACCACTTATCTAAATTAACACATACTGATGTGGAAAAGTTGAACAGATCCATAACAAAAGAAGAAATTGAACAGGTCATCAAAAAATTACCAACAAAAAAAAGTCTTGGCCCAGACAGTTTCACCAGAGAATTCTACCAAATATTCAGAGAAGAACTGACACCAATCCTACTCAAACTATTCCAAAACATAGAAAAGGATGGAATCCTCCCTAACTCATTTTATGAAGCAAGCATAACCTTGATACCAAAACTAGGCAAAGATATCACTCAAAAGGAAAACTACAGACCAATATCCCTCATGACTATAGATGCAAAAATCTTCAACAAAATCCTAGCTAACAGACTCCAACAACATAGCAAGAAAATCATTCATTACGACCAAGTGGGGTTCATATCAGGTATGTAAGGATGGGTCAACATTAGAAAAGCAATCAATGCCATCCACCACATAAATAAAACAAAGGAGAAGAACCAAAGTGCCAGGTTCTAGGGGCTGTGTGAAAGCCCCTCGACCTTGGGCTTCAGTGTTTAAGTCTCAGATTTTCTCTATGGACGTGGGAGATGATTTAGCCCTCACCTCACAAACACACATTCCCCCTACCTGCCACCCACTCTTTCACTGAGTTTTATCTCAGTTTTGGGGTTAAATCACTATTGTTTTAGCTGTGTGAATATTATTCTCAGCTGACCCATGTCATATCATGCTCCTTTTTCCAACATTTTACTGTTAAAAATTTCAAAGTTACTACATAATTGAAAGAATTTTATCATGACGGTCAAATGCCTAAGACTACTAGGTTCTACCATTAACATTTTACTAAACTACCTTTATCACATCATTATTCATCTGTTCAACCTTTTATCATCCATTAATCTTATTTTGGGGACATTTCAGACTGAAGTATAGACATCCATACACTTCACTTTAAATACTTATGATAACTTCATTTGTTTGGGTATCAGTATAGTGCTAGACTCATAATTTGGTAAATGTTTGGTAGTGTTTGTCTGGCAGTTTTATTGGGATATAGTTTACCGTGAAATTCATCCACTGTATGTGTCAAATTCAGTGGTTTTTAGTCAGGTTACGTGTTTGTGCAGCCATCACACACACAAAAAAAGTTCTGTTGCTGTTCAGTCAATTCCCACAACCCAACCCCAGCCCCAGAGAAACACTGACCTGCTTTCTGCCTCCAGAAATTAGCCTTTCTAAAAAGTTCCTATAAGTGGAATCATGTAATGTAAACTTTTGTGTGTGCCTTTGTTCACTTAGCTAAAGGTGTTTGAAGTTCATCGTGCTCTAGCATGAATCAATCGTTTGTTTCTTTTATTGCCAAGTAATACTCTATTGTATGGGTATACTATAGTTTATCAGTTCACCATTTAATGGACATTTGGGTGGTTCCCAGTTTTTGGCTGTTGTGAGCAATGCTGCTGTTGTGATCATGTATATACAGTCTTTATGGAGACATTTGTTTCCATTTCTCTTGGACAGATTCCTAGAAGTAGAATTGGTGCGTGTAATGGTAAGTGTATATTTAAATTTTTAAGAAACTGCCAAACTGTTTCCCAAAGTAGCTGTACCATTTTGCATTCTCACCAGAAATTTTTGTAGGTTCCAGTTTCACTACTTCTCATCAAAACCTGGTATTAGTCTTTTGGACTACAGTCAATTATTGGATATATAGTGGTATCTCATTGTGGTTTTAATTTCCTTTGTTACTACTGTATTTTTCACATATAATGCACCCACATAAATAATGCCCATATAGGACACTAACGCATGAGGGGATTGCATGGTTTGCAAAATAACATAACACGTTCATTATTTACATAGAATTGAGCATCTATTCATGTGCTCATTCTGCATTCATGTATCTTCTCTGTGAAATGCCTATTAAAGTCTTTGGCTCACTTTTTAAAAATTAAGCTGTCTTTCATTACTTGGTTGTAAGAGTTCTTTATATAAATTGCATGTAAGTCTTTTTTCAGATACATGATTTGCAATTGGGCATTTGATGAATCCAGGTAAAGTGTATGTGGATGTTCATCATACTGTTCTTTCAACTTTTCTGTATGTTTAACTTTTTTGTTTTCTCCAAAATAAAAGTTTTAAAATTAAAAATAAAATAGAGACATAACTTTTAGAAGAGATATGGCCACAGCTGTCCTGGAGTTGAATTTAAATCTTGTGGAGACCATCACGGTTCTGAGAAATGAACTGCTTGAGGCAGAGACAGGATGGCTTGAATGTTTCCTAGCCTTCATACACACCGAGAGAGGCTCTGCATGAGCTGAAGGAAGGTGGACAGAGAGAGAGGTCTGTGATAAAACAAACGTAGCAAAATGTAAATGTGAAAGCTAGGTGGTACGTATGTACTCTGTAACAGCCTCACCTGGGAGAAGCTGCCGTGTAAGAAAGGGGTGCCCATTCTCATTCAGCATGCTCCAGGGTAAATCCTGGACCCAGGAGGAAATACCACGTCAACCAAGCTGTGGTACCTGGTGAGGGAGTCCAGCAGAGGCAGTCATCCCTACTTCACACCACTGGACACCGTGGCCCAGGGGTGAAAGTGACCTTCCCAGGGTCACACAGAGTCTCAGAACCTAGGCCTTCAGATGTTTGGTGTTGTAGCCATTTAGTTCCACCTCCTCTTGCTGCTATTGCTGAACGTGCCCTGCCATGTGGTGAAGCAGCAAAAGTTGCTTCGACCAATCCCAGTCTAGGAATATGCCCAGAAGTGAAAGCAGAAACCTGCACACCGGAGTTCACTGCAGCACGTTCATGGTGGGCAGAAGGCGGAGACCCAAATGTCCGTCCACAGAAGAATGGACGCACAGAATGCAGTGTATCCGTGCAGTGCAACTCTGGGCAGTCAAAGAGCAGTGATGCACGTCCTGATGCACGTCCCAACGCGGGTGAACCGTGGAAGCATACTGGGTGTGACGCATCAGTGGCAGAAGGACAAATACTGCTGTGACTTACATGAAATAAAGATACATGAACCAAAGACGATCAGCGATTACCAGGGATGGGAGGAGGGAAAGGGGAAGTTTTTCCTTGGGGCGGGGGGCAGTGAGTTTACATTAATGGTGGTGGGATAATTTGAAAAAGGCCAGCAAGAATGGTTGTACAACTTGAAGAACGTAACAATCTCACTGAATTATGCATGTAGAAACTGCTGAGTTGGCATATGTTCTAATGTGTGTATATTTTCACCACAACTAAAAAAAAAGAAAGAAAGTTGCCCCACGCAAAGTCCTAAATGTACTTTCCTCCCAGCTACCTCCAGTGGCCGACATTGTGCTATGTGGGAGAACGGGTCACATTTGTCATCAAAGCCCGGAGCAGGAGCTGGTGGGTTTCTTACCCAGCATGGAGCAGGGCTGTGGAAGTGGAACTCGGAATGATCTACGGCGTGAGTTAAAGGAGTGAGGATGTGAAGGCCGAGCCTTGGGATCAGCTGGAACTGCACCCTGCCCCTGCCGGGTGGCCTCAAACAGGTCCCTTAGACACCTGAGCCCCAGTTTCCTCGTCTACAGAATGGGCATTGCATCTGAGTCCCTCTAATGATTAAATTACACTCACATTTGAAAGTGCTTTGTAAGCTATAAAAACAGCAGCTGTGATAAGCATTGCTGAGAGCCAGATATGCTGAATGTGAGGCTGCCAGTGCCCTGCACTAGAGAGAGAAGAAACTCCCAAGGCCCTGGGTATCATAGGGAACGTGCGGCACCAGGCCAGCCTTGCCCCTACTCCCCAGTACCCACAATGCACTCCCTGTCCCATCAGTGTCCATCTGGGAAAGCCATTTTGCATCTCAGCAATTTCCAGGGAGTTGACACTGGGCTCTGATAGGATGCTGGCTCAAAGGGTCAAAGGTCATGCAACCCCTGCATAAGAAAGCAGGCATCTTGCCAAGACTGCCCTTTGCAGTGGTTGTATGACCTTTGATTGGCCCTGAGAGCAGTGTAGGCACTTGGCTGTGGCCTGCAGGACAGCCTCTGATTTTCTGAGGTGTGGGCCATGGTGCAGGTCTGCTTCGCCTTACTCTGGCAGGATACGTAGGCACGGCCAGGCCCGGAGCACCACGGGCGTTTGCTGCCCTCCTGCAGCGGCTCCTGTTCTCTGGTGCAGACTTGTTCCCAGCAGGACTGGGTCCGCCAGGGGCAGCGCATGCCACCCCCCCGCCTGCTCTGTCTCATCCTCAGGTCCAAACCTGAGGGGTGTGGGGGTGCAGCTCCAGCCCATACGCCTCTCAGCCTGTCGCCCCGGTTCCCTACCAGAGTCACCTGTCTGGTGTGCTATTACCACTTGCCTCTGTTTAATTCATAGCTGGGAGCTGGGAAGAGTTTCCTGAGAAAGAAGAGAACTCCCCTGAGGTCTTGCCCAGTTCCTGCCAGCCTGCAGGGCACATTGCCGGGGCCCTAGCCGCTCCCAAGGCTGAGGCTGGCTTGTGGAAGCTGCCAAGGGGCTCAGAGGACACCATCCAGGCCAGGGCACAGCCACCACTCACTAATCCACAGGCCTGGAATGTCTACAGACCAATCAGCGGGGTCTCAGGGGGTTCCCTGAGGGTGCTAACAATCCTGCAATGATTAGCACGGGCTGTGGGGTCAGGTGGTCTGTCTGCTGTGGGCGGGGCAGGCGGGCCAGGCCAGAGGCCGCAGGAGGGAGGCGAACTCAGGAGCTGTCTCTTCACATGACAGGAGGCTGTGTGGACACACTGATTACTCACCAGCCTCCCCCCTTTGTCTGCCAGCCCAACCCAGCCTGACTCCTTCAAAGTTGTGAATAGCTACAGCCAGCCTGGGAAGCAACTGGACGCTAAGCCCACCGGGCCTGGAACACCCAGCAGGCCATGCTGCAGCCAGCACCCTGCCCCGGGTTAGGGGGCTGGCACCGCCAGCCTGGCCTCCTGCCTCTGCTCCTGGCTCTCCTTGGCATAAGCTGGGCAGAGACGCAGCTGCCCCAGCTGCAGGAGAAGCCGGCTGTGATGCCTGGAGGTAAGGGGCCCTGCATGAGGGGAGGTGGAGGAGCCAAGAGCCCTGTGGAGGGTGACCGGGGACATTTGAAGCCAGTTTCCAGGCCTGAGCCCTGGGCTGTGCTGGTGCTTTTAACGATGACCCCTCAGGACAGTCCAGAGATGGAGGGGGAGGCCGGGCCTGAAGAGGAAGGATGAAAGGGGCAGGGGGTCGAGGGGGTGAGGAACACTGGGCTGGAGTATGTGTTGGAGGGGGGTGGCCAGGAGAGAGTCAGTGGCCAAAAAAAGGCCCAGCTAGAGAGCTGCCCCAAGCCCAGGACTGGCCCCTCACACTTGACCCTTTCCATCACCTCCAGCTCCTTTCTCCATCTCTCATCTCCTTCCATCTCTCTGGCTCCTTGCCCTTCCATGTGTACCTGCCACCCTCTTCCCCAGCAGTCCTCAGACCTGGCTTCCTAAGAGCAGGTGTCTGCTCAGCTTCCCACAGTGACCCCCATCTCATCCCCCCGGGCACAGGCCCCAGCCCCAGTGCTCACACGGCCGCCCCTCTCTCCCACCCCCAGTCCTAAGCCGGAAAGAGAGCTTCCTGCTTCTCTCCCTGCACAACCGCCTGCGCAGCCGGGTCCACCCCCCTGCAGCAAACATGCAGAGAATGGTGAGTGAGGGGCTAGGAGGCTCGGCAGGTGCCCCCCACTTGCGCCAGCTGGGTGAGGACAGCCAGATAACCCTGCCCACTGGAGGGACTGTGGTCCTCGTCACTGGGGGGCTTGCAGCTTCCTCTTCCCCAGGGTGACCCTCAACGCAGGAGGCTAGGCCCCTGGCTCACACTTGCCTGAAGAGCAGAACTTGGGCCTGCCTTCGAATCCTGTTGCCACGGAGACCAGGAGACTCGAAGGAGCCATGGTCCCCTCCTCCAGAAAAGAATTTCACAAAGAAGTCCCAGCAGGATCTGAGAGCAGGAGCCAGGGAGGGAGAAGCATGGTGGTGTGTGTGTGTGTGTGTGTGTGTGTGGTGGGGGGCGGGTGACAGAGGGAGAGAGAGAAAAAGAGGAGAGGGAGTGAGACCAGGGTCATGGGGAGGGGGCCCCTCCCGAGATCAGTGATTCACACTTCAGTGAGAGCAGAGGGTGGGGGTGGGCCTCCCACCACCATGACCGGGGCTGTGCGCTGGGGGTATCAACCTGGAGCTTGGAAATGCCGCCCCCATAGTCTGGGACCCCAGCAACCTCGGCCGATAGCAACAGGCCTGGGAGTGGAGGGCTGGCAGGTTCCCCATGGCTGCCTCCCGTAACCTCCTCCGAGGACTGGCGTCAGTGGTGGCGGTGACCCTGAGAGCTCCGGGGTCAGTTTCCCAGGACAGGACGTGGGAGTGGGGGGGGGTCCCTCCTCCCACTTTCCCTTCCCGGCAGCAGTTCTGCCCCCTCCTCAGCCCAGGCGCTGGGCAGCCAGTGTGCTCGGCCAACCCTAGGCTCTGACTGCCCACTGCCTGTAACCCAGCCACCTGTAACACCTGGGGGCCTGCAGGCAGCAGGGACAGATGGGATCAACTGGTTAGCAGTGGGTACACGTTTTATGGCCCTTTGGCCAAGGTCTTAGAAAATAGTATTTCGAAACAAGATATGTGTGCCCCCTCCCCCAACCCAGGCATCCCTCACATCCGTGGCTGACTTGGGGTCTTGGCCCCCTGCAGACTTCTAGGGCTCCAGAGAATCCTTTCTTTACACACAGAGAAACTGAGGCTGTCAGGATGGGGTGAGGCTACGGAGGGCGCAGGGGAATCCTTCATCAGAAATTCTCGGCTGCCCAGACCGCTGGGGGGCAGGCCCAAGCTAAACACCTTCCTACTCCCCTTTAATCCTCACAAGCCTCTTATTCTATGGGCACCTTACCAGAAACAAACCAAACTCACTGCCGTCAAGTCGGATTGGACTCATAGACACCTCTCCTTGGGTTTCTGAGGCGGTGTCTCTATGGAAGGAGACTGCCCAATCTTCCTTCCCATGGGCACCTTATTGTCCCCATTTTACAGATGGGGACATTGAGTCTCATGGAGCTTGGTGACTCCTGGAAGTCACACAGCTCGAATGAAGTGGCTGTGCTGGACAAGGCAGTGGCAGTGGGGTGACTCAGGTCTCCCCGATTTTTGAGTCCCTTTCAGAAGAGTTGGGGACTGGGGGAGGGTGGGGTGGGGCAGTCAGCGGGTGTTCGGATGGGAGAGCAGATTAGGGCCAGCTCCGGAGAGCTCTGTCTGGCCCTTTGTTCCCTCCCTGGTTCCTCTGCACACTCTGAGGCCTGGGGTGGGGACTAAGGAAAGGGAAGCCAGGCATGACTGCAGGGGCTCTTTCGATGGCAGGAGAGCTAGGCCAGGTGGGAGCAGCCAAGCCTTTCTGACAATGGCCATGGCCAGTTTTACCCAGAACCAGTTTGAAAGGTTTGGGCACTGCCCAGGGCTCACATTACCAGTCACGGGAAACGGCAGCCGAAACCCATCCCACACGTGTGCTAGTGCTACTCCCGTAGGGACCCCTGTCCTCCTCGGGGGTCTCCTGGGCAGGGTGCCCACAACAGGAGAGGAGGGAGATGGAGGGTCTCAGGTAGTCAGGTGCCCGGCATCCCTGTGCTTTTTCCAGCACATGTTGGGAGAGCTATTGTCTGACCCACCCCAGCAAGGTCAGGAGGACTGCCAGCAGGACTCCTAGTCCAGTGCTCTCCTCTCTGCATGGGCTGGCACCCCGAGGATGCTTGGGAGATGTCTGGGCCAGTCTCCTCCCCTTCACCCAGGGTCCCCTGCTGTTTCTCCGTTTGTGCCACCCTCAGGACTGGAGCGAGAGCCTGGCCCGACTTGCTCAAGACAGGGCAGCCCTCTGCGGGGCCCTGGCACCGAGCCTAGCTTCTGACCCGCAGCACGCCCAACAGGTGGGCTGGAATGTGCAGCTGGTGCCTGCAGGCTCAGCGTCCTTCGTGGAGGTGGTCAGCCTGTGGTTCGCAGAGGGACAGTGGTACAGCTATGCAGCAGCTGAGTGTACCCACAATGCCACCTGCACCCACTACACTCAGGTGAGTCAGCTGCAGGTGGGGTAACGTACCAGTGCTGAGGCCCCTGAGGCCTGCTGAGGTCACTCAGAAGATTCTATGCTTTGTCTAGAAAATACATGGAAGAGAAATGGCTGAATCATAAAGGACACGCACCTGCTACTTTACTAGGTGTTGCCAAAGTTATCGCACCAACTATACTCCCACCAGCAACTGTCCCCACCACCCAGTACTGGCAGACTCCTTAATTTTTGCCAAACTCAAGAGTGAAATGCCACCTCGCTCTGTTTTTCATTTGCATTTTCCTGACACTTAACAACACCCACGGTCTAGAACCAGAGGATCAGTACCTGGTGCAGTAGTGGGCTTCCACACCCCTGCTCTAGGGTAGAGCTGTCAGGTTGGCAAGGTCTCAGGCCTTGTTCACTTGGGTGTGATATGAAATAATGTGATAAGAGGTTGTGTGTGTGTGTGTGTGTGCATGTAGCATTTGAAACTCATCGTTCAATTTGGTTTGCTAAGTATTATTTGCTAGTAAAATTGGCCTCTAAATTGTCTCCTATCTCATGGTCCTCTTACCTAGGTTATAGCATTGTCATTTTGGCCTCTTGGAGTGAGTCGAGAGTTTGTCCTCATTTTCTACTCCCTGCAAGGATTTCCGTGAGATTTTCCATAATTCCTGTAAAATTACTTGGGCCTTACTCTGTTGTTTGTTTCTGTTGTTTGTTTTGTACGTGAAAGTACGAGTGGATTTTTAACTACTGATTCAACTTTTAAAACTGGTTACAGATCACTTCAGATTTTCTATTTCTTCTTGAGACAATTTTGTCACACTCTGTTTTCTAATAAATTATTCATTTTTTGTGCACATTTCCCATTTCATTGGCTATGATTTTTCACTATTTAACAGATACTTAAAACTAGAGTCAAATAGATTTTTTAAAATATCTATCATATCGCTAGCTATGTCTTTTTAATTCCCTATATTATCTGCTTATTCTTCTACTGTATTTGGTTAACCCTACTATTGTTTTTATCTTCTTGACATGAATCCATACTTCATTAATATTGAGTCCTTCTTTATTTCCACCATGTACATTAAAAGCTGTAAATTTCCTTCCATACTTCTTTAGTAAATCCCTTATGTTTTGATTTTTAGTGTCTTCTATGTCAGGTAGGCCTAAGTGTTTCCTAATTTCCATTAGAAATTGTCTTTGATTTTGATGTATATATTTAAATTTCCAAACCATGTTTTTTTTCTCTTTTATTACTTCTAAATTATTTACTTTAAATGTTGTGGCATTGCATTCATAGAATGTGATCTGTAGAGCTGTGATTCTTTGGTTTTTTGTTGAAACTTACTTCATGGTTTAGTAAGGGGTTAATGTTTGTAAAAGTTCCACACATTCCTAGAAAGAAGGTATGTTCTCCAATTGGTGGATGCATATATACAACAACATGTTCCTATTTCCCTGCACAACCCAGGCTCGTATTTTTCATTTTTAGTGTCTACTAGTTTGCTAAACTATTCCTTTGCATTAACTATGTGTGCTTTTTCCAAGTTGTCACTGATTTTAAGACTTTAAATTTTCCATACCACTAAAGGTCTATAAAGGAGCTCTGGTGGCATAGTGCCTAAGGCACTTGACTGCTAACCAGAAGGCTGGCGGTTCAAACCCACCAACCACTCCTCGGAAGGAAGGTTGGGCAATCTACTTCCATAAAGATTTACCACCTTGGAAACCCAATGAGGTCACTATGAGTGGGCCTGTATCCATTAGCTTTTTCTTTTCTTTTCTTTGGTATCCATTACCTTTTGCTGCACAACAAAGCTTAGTGGCTTAAAACAAGTTATTTAGTTCATGAATCTGGGGGCCGGTGATTTGGGCCGGACTCAGCCAGGAGGTTCTTGTGGCTGGGCTCATGCAAGCAATAGCAATCAGCTGCCAAGATGGCTGGGAGAGGCTGTCTAGAGTGGCCTCCACTGGCTCCTGTCTGTCTCATGGTCATTCAGCCTCCAGCAGGTTAGCTTGAGCTGTTCTTTTTTTTTTCCACTGAAACATCTTTTTTTTTTTTTTTTATTAGGATTTGGGTGAAGATTTACAGAGTAAATTCACTTTTCATACAGCAGTTCACATATACTTTGTCTCATGTCATTGACCAAAATTTACAATGCAGCAGCTCCCCTCCCACTTCCTCCCCATAGTTACCTCCTCTCAGTGTCCATCCCTTCATACTCTTCTGCACCCTGAGCTATCTCCCTGTGCATAAGCAGCCTTTCCTTCTCCCATGATTGTTCTCTCCAGGGCGTGTGTCTACTTGAGGTAAATGTTTAACTCACATGCCTATACTTTGTTTGGCTGGAAACCACAGTTGTGGGTTCAATTCCAGACCTGAAGGGCAGCTAGGGGCCATAGTCTCAGTGGTTCCACCAGGCTCTATTGGACCAGCAAACCTGGTCCCCACCTTCTTTTTTTTTTTTGCCTCCAAATGATTTTGAGTTTTGTTCCACATTGTTCCCCCTCTTTATGCAGGATCTCCTACATCCCTTCCAAGTGGATGGCAGTGGTAGCTGGGCACCATCTAGTTCTTCTGGTCTCATAGTTGTATAGGTTGCAGATCGGATGGTGTACCAGTCGCTAGAGCTTGAGCTGTTCTATAAGAGGGAGTGAAAATTGCAATGCCTCTTGAGAATTGGCTCAACATCACTTCTGCTCATCCTGTTGGCCAAAACAAGTCACAAGGCCAGCCCAGAATCAAAGGGTAGGAGAAGAGATTCTTCCTCTTGAGGGGAAGAACTGCAAAGGTACATTTACAAGAGTGGACTGTAGGGACACACAGGCGGTTGTGGCCAAGTCTTCAGTCTATCTCAAGGCCCTTGCATGATCTTTCTTTTGCCACACTCCTCCACCCAGTCACAACTTCCTCTCCCTTCAGGGGTGTCTGCTAAACCCTCAGCCCCTCCACTCCTCCAGCCCCATGAAAACCATCCTAGATTATACCCACCTATCCTACACCCCTGCCCAGCACAGCTGTTCCTGAAGCCCATGAGTTGAGGGAGCTGCTTCTCTGCTTGATTTATAACAAAAGCTATGTCCTCCCTCCCCAGGCAAACATCACCTGTGCTGCTGGCCCCCACTGGGAATAGGGGTGGTCTGTGATGGGGTTTTGACCACTATGTCTCTTGTGCAGTAATATATCAGACAGTGTTTCTCTGCTATTCATAAGGTTTTCCCTGGCCAATTCTTTGGGAAGTGGATGGCCTCTTCCTTCTTCCTAGTCTGTCTCAGACTGTAAGCCGGGCTGATACTTGTGCACCATGTGCACCCCACTGGGTTTGAAACACCAGTGGCACAGCCTCGAGACTCACAGCAACACGTCACCACAGTAGGACAAACTGACAGACAAGTTTGTCTCCCTTAGCTGTTGGAAACCTCTCCAACCACCCTTACCTGGATCCCTGCGGCTGACTCCTTGATCTGTTCCAGTCCCCTTTGCCTTTTCTGTCCCCTCCCTGGGGAAGGCCTTCGACGAGATGGATTGACAAGGTGGCTGCGACAATGGGCTCAAGTATAGCAAGGATCATGGAACTGGTACAGGATTGGGCAGTGTTTCATTTTGCTGTGCATGGGGTCGCTATGAGTCGGAAATGACTCAACGGCACCTAAACACCAACACCAACGTGTCTCTTGCAGCTCGTGTGGGCCACCTCGAGCCATCTGGGCTGTGGGTGGCATCGCTGCTCCGTGGGCCAGGCAGAGATGGAGGCCTTTGTGTGTGCCTACTCCCCAGGGTAAGCCCCCATGACTGCAGGGCCCACCATCCTCTGCTGGACCAACTGTGGTGGATGGTGGGTATAAGAAGGAATACTTTCACCCAGGGTAAGACACTACCCACCCACCCAAAAGGCCTTGACCTCCGGGTGTGAACCCTTGTTGGAGAGGGGAAGAGTGGGAAGGCAGAGGGTATAGGATTGGACAGCACCCAAGGTTCTGACCATGCAGAATGTGGCTGCTTCTCTTCTGAAGTCCTACTTGGAAGTGCTACCCCATTTTCAGGGTATATGCCCACTGTTAGTTTAGGGGTCATCTTTTCCTTTCTAGGAAACCCTCCTATCTCCCTTTGATTCCTAGCTGGGCCAGAGGAAGCTGAGGGGGCCATGCCCTCCTCTTGCCCCTCCCCTGCCTCGCCCATGGCCAGGCCCTTCCAGACTGTCCGGTGCTTATTCCCACAGAGGTAACTGGGAGGTGAATGGGAAGACAATCATCCCCTACAAGAAGGGCACCTGGTGTTCACTCTGCACGGCCAGAGTCTCAGGCTGCTTCAAAGCCTGGGACCATGCAGGAGGGCTCTGTGGTGAGTGCCTCACTCTGCCTGCCTTCTCCCAGGGCAGCAGGTACATGAAAGGTTGGGGTGGGTATCCTGGGAGAAAAGGGTGGGCAGCATCCTGAGGGGCTGTCCTGGAAGCCCCAGGTTCTCAATCCCCTGGGAAGGCACCTGCCTGGCCTCCAAGGCAGAGGCCCCCCAGGCAGAGGCCTCCCTCTTCTAGTCCCCTCTTTGTCTGACCAGAGGTCCCCAGAAACCCATGCCGCATGAGCTGCCGGAACCACGGACACCTCAACGTCAGCACCTGCCGCTGTCACTGTCCCCCTAGCTACACAGGCCGATACTGCCAAGGTGAGCAGCACCCGGAGTTCCAGAACAGGACCAACTGCTCAGGGACCCAGAGTATGTGGACGACACAGGCAGCCACCGAAGGGGAAGGAGGGAGGCCGAGCCAGGTGTCGGGGGGCCATGTCTTGGACAGGGGCTGTGCATGCACTGACCAACAGGTTCTAAGAGTCTGGAGTGTGAGAGAGTGCTGTTGTGTCCTGGCTAAGCATGCACACTGCATCGATTCCCTGAGTGTTGACTGTGTACCTGAGGGACCCGCCTAGGCCCTTAAGCCAAATGGGGTGATGGGAAAAGTATAGAATTAGGTTCTTGTTCCTACTGTCCCCTCTGCCCAGCTCTATGACCATGGGCCTATGACCTATGCTTCTCTCTACACTGGGGCTCGAACCCAAGATGCCAGGTGCAGAAGCCAGCTGGCAGCTCTGGTGGGCTCTGTCATGGAGAAAGGGTTCTTCCTGTGGTTGGCCAGCCCCTGCGTGAGCGGCAGGGCCAATGGCTGTGGACTGAGTGCTGCCTGTCCGGCCCCAACCCACAGTGCGGTGCAGCATGGGGTGTGTGCACGGCCGGTTCCGGGAAGAGGAGTGCTCCTGCATCTGTGATGTCGGCTTTGGGGGTGCCCAGTGTGACAGTGAGTCCTGCCCCAGGAGCCCTCCAGCTGTGGGTGGAGCCCACTGGGTGTGTCTCTTCCCAACTCTGGCTTCAGTCATGACACAGTAGTCACTTGAAATTGGCCATGGTAGGAGTATTTACACCACCAAAATTTCCAAACCAAACCCACCACTATCGAGTCAATTCTGACCTATAGCGATCTTACAGGGCAGAGTAGAACTGCCCCATAGCGTTTCCAAGGCTGTAAATCGTTATGGAAGCAGATTGCCTCATCTCTCTCCTGCAGAATGGCTAGCGGGTTAAAACTGCTGACCCTTTGGTTAACAGATGAATGCTTTAACCACCCAGCCACCAGGGCTCCTATTTATACCACAGAAATGGGTAAACAGTACAAATCCTGAGATGTTTTTGTTTTGAAGAAGAATTGGCTGTTATCTAGTTGCCAGCACCCACTGCCCCCACCCACTCTCCAGCCTGGAGCAGGTGGCCTGGAGAAGGTGCACCTTGAGCTCCGCTCCCTGCAGGGCGGGAGAGGGTAACAATTCTGAGGTCCACACACACGAACAGGTGGCTCACTCCCCAGCCAAGGTGCACTTTCCCTTCCACACCTGCGACCTGAGGATCGACGGGAACTGCTTTATGGTGTCCTCAGAGGCAGACACCTACTACGGAGCCAAGATGAAGTGCCAGGTGACGGGGACCCCTGCCTTCTCAGGGACCCTGATGGAGGGACCCTGGGCTAAGAGGTGGTTCTCGGACTTCTCCTGGCCTCAGTCTCTTCATTTGTATAAATCAGGAACCACAGACTCACAGGCCCTTGGAAGCCAGAAGGTCACATAGTGAGCTAAGGGACTGCAGGCACAGGGTCCCCCAGACACCACCCAGGGGAACCATCCTGGTCAGCTCCAGCTGCAGGATGCCACGCAGGATGCGAGTTCAGGGTGGCCAGAACTCAGCATTTTTCAAGAGCCCAAGAAATCCCGATGTTCACGTAGCCCTTCTTGATTTATTAACACAGGCGACCAACTCAGACCTATCTAAGACACGGTGCCTGTGCGCTGACTCTGGGTCCCTGAGCATGAGAGGGAGGGGAGGCAGGCAGAGAAGCCTCTGGAGAGCAGGAGACTGGCAGACCGGCCAGCCCTGCGTACACTGCTAGCGTGCACACGCCTCCTCTCCTGTGATGCCACAGCTGCAGTTCCAGGAGGGAAGGGCTGCCAGAGCATGGGGCCTTACCAGCCTGACCCAACGTGGGGATTACAGGGAAAGGGTGGAGTGCTAGCCCAGATCGAGAGCCAGAAAGTGCAAGACATCCTTGCCTTCTACCTGGGCCGCCTGGAGACCACCAATGAGGTGACGGACAGTGACTTTGAGACCAAGAACTTTTGGATCGGTGAGTGCCTGGCTTGTTCAGGGGTACAGTGAGTGTCGGGTTTGGGATACCCAACACAGCTCCAGGAACACTAGGATATGGAAGCCCAGAACACCCAGCAGCCAATGGTAAGGGTCGAGAGAGGGCTTAGAGCCCGGGATGAGGCTAGTGTCAGGCTGGTAACCTCCCACCCCAGGGGAAAGGGCTGAACTGCTAGGGAGAAGGGATAGTGTTGGAAAGGCAGCCTCCAGGGCTCTGACCCTCCTCTCAGACCCATGGGTCTTGGGCAGTGTAGCCAACATTGGCTGCCCTGCCCCAGGCCTCACCTATAAGACTGCTAAGGACTCCTTCCGCTGGACCACCGGGGAGCACCAGTCCTTCACGAGTTTTGCCTTTGGACAGCCTGACAACCAGGGGTGAGTCTGGGGTGCCACTCTCCCTGGGGGCCACCTTCTTATCTGGGCCTGCCTAGCTAAGCCTTCATACAGCACTAAAGAACTGCCACATAGCCTGCTACCTGGCTAACTGCAGAGGGTCTGGGCCTTACTGGTAGCTGGCTAGCCAAAGAAGTCCAGGCACAAGAGGTACAGGCTGGGAGAGGGAGCCACAAATCATAAAGCAGGGCCTTGCTTCTAGGAGAGTGCCCCCCTAAGAGAGAGGGGACCCAAGAAGACCTCATCTGTTCATCTATCTCCATCACCCCTCAGCACCCACCCGCAGCCACCCACCCCTCTACCTGCTGTCCACTCATTTCCCCAGCTCCCCACTGGCTTGGCCTGCATCAATACACTGATGCTGGCATTCTGCCAGCCTCCACCCCTGGCATCCATTCATGCACCCAGTCTGCCTACTGGCCATGCTGTACTGAGGGCCTTTTGCTTCTGTGGCCCTTGCTTCTAGGCCCAGGAGTGCCTAGCACAGGTATGGCAGGGGGTGGGGAGGTGGTCATGGAGGGCTTTAAATATCTCAAAGACTCCTTCACTCCCTTTCTGGGATCCAGGCCTGTGCCCAGCCTGTGGCCTGGAGGTAGTGGGCCTGCCTTGGGCACCTACTGTGAGGGAAGGCCCACAGGACTTGGGCCCGACTGTTCCCAGTACTCCCCAACCCCCTCCACCCAGAGTGGCTGTGTGCTGGCAGTGGGATAGGTGGGGCTGTGCTGGAGACCTCCCTTGCTTCTCTGAGAAGAGCTGCAGGGGGGTCTAGGAAGCAGGGGTGAGAGCTCTGGGGGAAGGCAGGGTCTGGCTTCCAGCAGATGCAAGTGGCCTGCTGTAATGGGGAATTCAAGCCTCTCCCAATCTCTTCATGCTACTTCTCCACCCTGAGCACCCTGCATCTTGGCCAGCAGGTTTGGCAACTGTGTGGAGCTGCAGGCATCGGCCGCCTTCAACTGGAACGACCAACGCTGTAAAACCCGAAACCGTTACATCTGCCAGTTTGGTGAGGGCCTTCCCACCACTGCTCACCTCCAGCCTCTGCCCCTGCCCTGCCCCCCTTGCTGAGGTACCCACTGGTGGCTCCAGGCTGTGGGGTATCCAGGTCACATGCCCAGAGCATGTCCGAGCACAACAAGCTGCTGAGTACATCCTCCTTAGAGGCACATCCTGAGGCCCAAAGGGGAACAGGGGCCCAGCATCACACAGCAAGTGCACACAGAAGCGGGACCCTAGAGTCCTGCCTGGGATTGCTCTAAGTTCTCTTTCTTCCTATCAGTAAAGCTGCTGCTACTTGGGCACCTGTCTGGTCCCTAAGTGATCCCTGATTCCCTAGAGCCCAGGGAACTATAGTTGAAGGCTGAAGTGAAACCTGGCCCAGCACCAGCTCCTAGAAGCACCTGCCAGAATGGCCTGGAGCTTCCACATGGGGCCATGACTATGGTACTCCTGGGCTGGGTGCAGCAGGATGCCCATCCACACTGCCTGGGCTCCCCCGACCCTTGCTCTTTTCTGCTTCCTTTCCAGCTCAGGAGCACATTTCCCGCTGGGACCCTGGGCCTTAATGCCCATCATCTCACCTGCCAGTCCCTGGGCACATCAGCCTTGCTTATCTGTCTGTCCACTTGCCCAGAACAAGGGCCAGGCTAGGACCACATGCCTAACATACAAGGAAGCCTCAGACCAATGCAGGGAGTAGGGCAGGAGGTGCAGTGAGCCCTATAAGGGCAGGGGGACTGGCAAAGCCTGGCAAGGGGGACATGGCCTGGAACCCCTTAGCCTGCGGTGAGTGTGGGGATGGGGCTCAATTGGGCCGCAGTGCTGAAGCCAGGGCCAGCCTTCAGAAGACATTTCTGGACAGACCCTCCCAGTAGCAGGGGCTTCCTCACCCCCGCAGAAGGAAGGCACCCCATAAAAGATTATTAAACTAAGTTATAAGTCAGCCAGTCTTGTTGGTGCTCTTTCTGAAGGGGAATTCCGAGGACTCAGTATGATTCTGGGAAGACTAGAGGCTGTTTGTTGTAGGCTTCCCTGCTCAGGGCCTCCCACCCTGGAATCCCTTCCCCCGCTCACCTGCATGACCCAGGCCAGCCTCCAGAAATGAAACAGGAAGCCGCGCCTCTCTGCCTCAGTGAGGGGTCATTTTTCCAGGAGCTCCCAGCCTGGGCCCCAGACAGCCAGGGTAGTAGACGACTTTGAATTCCTGGGCAGTGGTGTGTCCTTGGTGGAGTGTTTTCCACGGCCAAGGCTGAGGATGCAATCCAAATCTGGACAGCCCAACCCCTTGTCCAGCTCCTCAGACATCACAGCTAGCACCGTCATGCATCAGGTATCGTAACAGCACTTGGTATCTACTGACTCAATCCCTCACACGTCCTCATTGAGGGAGTATTATCTCTATCCCTGTTTTATGGGTGAAAAACGCAAACGTACAGAGGTTGAGTAAGTTGCCCAGGATCACACACAGCTTGAGCAACCCAGTCAGTCTGGCCATAACCTTTCCATTTTCTTTGGGCGGTTCAGCTGTTTAATGGGAATGAAAGGGGAAGCTCCTATGTCCACAGCCGGAAGGCGCGGGCACACGCGGGGCATTCACACAGCCGTCCCTAAGGATCTCAGCCATCTCGCAGATTGGGGGAGCCTCCACACCACCTGCAGGTGTTTGCCCAAGGTCGTCAGCAAGGGCTAGACTTGGACCTCTCCAACTGGCTTGTGGACGTGGAAAGCCCTGCTCTTCTCCCTTGTTCTGCCCGGCAGATTCTGCCATCCCGCCTTAAGTTTTTCTCCGGTACACGTGAGAGGCGTTTCTGCAGGAGCCGCGTCCGAACGCAGGTGGCGCCCTAGCCTTCAGGCCGAGTGGCTCCCTCCGCTGAGAGGTCGCAGCGAGTGGGAAGGCGCTAAGGGAGACAGGCCTGCGCAGACGCAGCTGCAAAGTCCGAACCCCGACAGCCCCACCCGACACCCGCCCCCGCCCCGAGAGCCCCGCCCCGAGGGCTTAGGCCCCGCCCTTCGCCGCGCGAAAGCCCCTTCCTCAGCTTCCGAGAGAGTCGGCTCCTGCGGTCGGTTCCGCGGCTCTCAGGGGACGCGACCCCTACTCACTCCTGCTGCCCCACGCCAATGTCGCCAGGCCCGACGCCCTTCCACGGGCCGCCCTCCTCGGCGCCCCGTAAGCGCTCGGCGGCTCGGGTCCCGCGTCTCCTGGCCGCGCCCGCCGCGCCCCCTGGAGCCCGCCAAGGGGGGGCGCGTTCCGAGGTCGCGGCGGGGGCCTGGATGGCCCCAGCCGGTGCTGGCCCCTAGTGGGTCCCCCGCAAGCGGCCGTGACGCTATTCGGCAGCTCGGAGGCGTGTCGGAGACGTGAGTGCGCCCTGCGCGCCCTCTCGGATGGGGCAGGTGAGGCAGCAGCCGGGCGGCGGCCGGAGTCACCTCAGGGAGTGTGTGGGCAGGTGTGCGGAGGCAGGTGTCACGGGGCCGGCTCACCTCCTCCGCCTGTCGGGTGTGGACACCGGGTGCGCTGAAGACCAGCTTCCTGGCCCCTTCCTTCGCCGCTTCCTCTAAGGCTCTCGGAGGTTGTTCTCAAACCACACCCAGGAGAACTGAGAGGGTTCCCTGTCCTGTCACCTCCGGGCAGCCCTGGCTGCTTGAAGGAAGAAAGAGTCTGCAGGCAGGGAACGGGCAGAGTGTTGGAACAGGTGAGTCCGGAACCATTGTGCCTCTCCAGGAGCTCGTGGGCTTCTTTTTCACGTCATCTGGACAGGCTGTGTCACCCTGAGGCACTGAGGTCCTGGGCAGCCGGTACCGCACTCTTGCTTCCTCCCTTTAGCTTTTCATTCATGTGACAGCCATTCCTGGCCCTAATATCTCAGAATGCCCAAAAATCCAGTCTATGAAATCATATGCACTGGCTAAGGAATCAGACAGCCATCACGTGGGATAAAGCAAGATTCTTCACTTCGTGGTAGTCCTCTGTAGTGTGTTCTTCTGGAAAACCTGATCTGCAGTATTTTTGTTGCTGTGGAGTTTTATCTGGGGAACTTACCTTTCCTTGATGTGGCAAACTTTTCTAAGGTATGGTGTGTATTTTCCCCAAAAGCCCTTAGTGCTTCCCACATGTATTGGGGGAAGTGATGAGGGTCACAGGGGCTTCCATCTGCTTCTGGGAAAGCACCCCTTGCCGTGTTTGTGTGATTCGCCAGGGCAAACAGAACCAGGGCCAGTGTGGTCCAGACTCAGTGGAACAGATGCAGGGTGCAAGAGAGAATGCAGAACAAGTGGTCTAGGCTTCCAAAGAGAAAGGAAGCCTTCTCCACAGATTTCCACAGAACTAGACAGACGACCCCTTGGAATATTTTCTGGCTCAAGATGATGTTGTAAAATGTGATTCTAGAATGCAGAGTTTTCTTTTGGTCACAAACGGGGTGGCCTGGAGGATCTCTAAACAGTGTCAGTTACAAACCTTTACTTGTAAAAACTTGAGCATGAACCTCCAAAGTGTTTATGTATACTACATGTTTACATATACTTGTGTTCAAACTGTAATCCCTGGGTGGTACAAATGGTTAACACACTAACCAAACGGTTAGTGGTTCGAGGCCACTCAGGGGCATCTTGGAAGAAAAACCTGGCAATCTACTTCTGAAGATCAGCCATTGAAAACCCTGTGGAGCACAGTTCTGCTCTGACGCATAAGAGTCAGAATTGACTTGATGACAACTGGTTTCATTTGTGAACTATATATATGAACCACAATGCTAAAACATTACATACAGTACCTTATGAAAGAGATGCAAATAAAAACTTTAAAAGATAGAAATAAAGATGACTGTAAAAGTCCTAATATTTTCATTGTGCACCCTAATAGAATGCCCTGTGGTACACTTGGGGTGTGGCCACCCCTTCCTGGGGATCGCCTGCATAGAGAATCCAAGCTGTCATAGCCTTGAATGCCTCAAGTACAAAGCATCCTTTGGGAGTGTTGTCATCCTCTAGTCTTGGCCACAGAGTTAAAAGTTGCTCCTGGACGCACCTCAGGATTTTATTTACTTGGTGTGAACCAGATCTGCATGGAGACATTTGTTCAGCAGAGGAGAGGTATTGTGTCCACCAATAGCATGGTCACCATTTCTGGCTTCTGGCTTGTCCTGCCACTAGTCATGGCTCTGATGTATGTCTGCAAAGAGTGTTAAGCCAGTCTCGGGACCAGCAGAAGGTGGAGGTGGAGGTTTGCATGTGTGGAGCCGCCCCCCCCCCCCCAGGTATAGGCCATGGTAAGCCAGCCTAGGACTAGCAGAAGGCGGGTGTTTCCCCAGGGAAAGACCAGATAAGTGAGCAGGGTGGGAGAGACCAAGAAATGAGCAGACCAGTTTAGAACAGCTAGAGGGGACAAACTTGTCTGTCAGTTTGTCCTACTGTGGTAGCTTGAGTGTTGCTGTGAGGCTAGAGGCTATGGGAGATGCTATTGTTAGTCTCCAGAATAGCCCCACAGGCCCAGTTGCACAAAACTGCAAATTGGTTGTAGATGGAAGTGTGGCCTATGACCATAGAAGAGGTGGTTGTTGTTATTTGCCATCGAGTCGGCCCCGACTCATAGGGACCCCTCCTTGGGTTTCTGAGGCAGTATCACTATGGAAGTAGATTGCCCAACCTTCCTTCCGAGGAGTGGCTGGTGGGTTTGAACCGCCAGCCTTCTGGTTAGCAGTCAGGTGCCTTAGGCACTATGCTACCAGAGCTCCTTAGAAGGGGTAGTCAAGCATTTACAATTGTGTAGTCAATTCATTTACAATTACAATATTAATTTACAGTTAGTTGTAACTAATAGAAATAAAGAAACAGCCCTGGCTAATTGTGAAGAAAAGGAACTTATCAAAAGGACAATGGTAGGTGACAAGATCTTAGGGAGAGTTAGAGAACCAGGCTAGAGACCTGTGTGGCCAAATGGTGCCTCACAATTTCTGCAAAGCCAGTCTCACTTGATGCCCATGGTTCTGCTGGTGGGCCCAGGAGTGACTTGGTAGCCGCCTTTGTGGCAACCTCACCTCTGTCCTGGCAACTAACTTTGGCAGTTGAGTGCTAGTTCCATAGAATCCTAAATAAGAATATGTTCAACCCAATCTGTCATTATTTTCTCCCTTCCTAGTACTGCACCGTCCTAATCCATTCCCAGCCCTTTTTGTCAGATTTTTGCAACTATAAATTAGCAAATCTTGTTCTTTTGGTGATTCAGTGTTCTCCTCCTAGGTCATGTTGTCCTTGGCCCCCTGGAGCCTACAGAGGTTGGACTTGTAATTAAGTCTGGAAGAAAAAGAGAAATGTTGAGTTAGGGCAAGAGACTCCTTCAGGACAATGTCATTACAGGGCATGTTATTTAAGGTAATGCTGGCCACTGTGTAATGGGAATTTCAAGGTGGTTCTTGTAAATGGCTATTCATCACTCAAGTGCTGTGGGGGAGAGGAGGATCCAGGCTGACCAAGGCCTTGCCATCTCCAGTACATAGCTTCCCAGGTCACCTAGGGCATTGGCATTCACGTGGCAACTCAAGAAGTAGAAGGGTGGAGAGTCACTCAAGAG